GGTTGCCTAAAGATCCCAAAGGTAAATCGAGAGGTAGACCTTGGTTTGACATTGCTAAAACTTCCCCTTTCTTTATTAATCAGTTGGCCTTCAAAATAGGGAAAGGTAGCAGGATCAGATTTTGGTTTGATAAATGGAATGGAGAGGCAACCTTGGCAGAAGATTTCCCAGACTTGTATGCCATTTCCCTTAAAAAAGAAGCAGTGGTGGCAGATTGCTGGAGTAACGTGTATAAAACATGGGATATAGGCTTTCGAAGAGGTTTATTTGATAGAGAATTGGAATGCTGGACGAGAATGGTTCAACGTTTGGAGGTTTTCGTGTTAGAAGAAGAACCTGATGCTGTTGTCTGGCCGCTGGAGCAGAATGGTCGTTTCACCACGAATTCAGCCTATATGAAATTAAGAGAAACTCCTCCCAAATTAAAGTCCTCCCTGATAACTTTCATTTGGAAGGACCCTATCCCGAAGAAAGTAAAGGTTTTCCTATGGTCTTTGGCTCACCGAGCGCTGAACACCCATGAGAAACTTCAAAGAAAATGCCGGAAGTGGTCTTTGTCTCCATCAGTTTGCTGTCTTTGCTGGAAAGGGGCAGAGACTTTGGATCATTTGTTTCTTCACTACCCTTTTGTTTTAAAAGGTTGGCAGCTTCTATTTCAATGTTTTGACGTCCAATTATGTATGCCTAAAGACGTGGAGAGTTGGTTATTAGAATGTTTTCACGGTTGGCATTTCAATGGAAAGGCTAGAGTTTTGTGGAGATGCGCCTTTAGAGCTTTTCTTTGGAATGTTTGGATGGAAAGGAACGAACGCTCCTTCGAAGATAAAGCTAAGTCTTGGGATTCTTTTTGTAATAGTGTGCAGGTTTTAGCTTCTTGGTGGTGCATTAGAAATTCGAAATTCTTCTGTAATTACAGCCTCTCTCTGATTTTACAAAATTGGAGAGTTTTTTTGTGATTAGTTTCTTTTTGGAAGGGGCTGTCTTGGCCCCCGTCCATTAGGCTGTTCCTCTTCTTTTGTTCTTCTTATGAAAGTGTTTCTTATCAAAAAAAAAAAATCTTTTCCCAAAGACAAGGTAAGAATGTGATAGGTTAGAGGGATAAGAGGGAGACTTCTGAAGGTTGGGATGACAGGTCAAACAAAACATGGGTGACACATTCTTTTTATGAAATGACATAGATGTTAGCTTTTGCAGCGGAAAGAGAGGGAGAATAGAAAAGCACCATTAAACAAAGAAAAAATATAAACATACCATACTCATGACAGCCAAACTTCGGGTATAATTGGTCCTTCTCTCTAACCATACCTCAGATGTTCGACTTTTCAACCAAAGAACCTACAAGCAAAAAAGCTACACGCTAGAATAATATCTTCAAAAGAAACTCAAGCAAAGTAATAATATATAAAACGACAATAAAGTAGTTTACCCTTGCAAGGTCATTTCCTTCTGTATTGTGTAGTGCATACTCAAAAACTTCTACTTTAGCTATGAGCGGCAAATGATCATAATCAGGTGCAAAACTAAGCATGTATTTGTGCTCTTGGTTCAAGGTTATCTGAAACCATGAAGCATTATCAACACCGCAATAAATGAATTCTTGCCACAACAAAATTTTAGAATTGTTCTATAAAATGTCAACAAACCTTTCTGGCATCTCTATACTCACGGATAAGATGATGTAGGGTGTCACAATGTGGGACCCAACCAATCAATCCACTATTTGGAGATAGTGGAATAACATCATATCGTTGGATGGAAAGGTCCTTTTCAGCGGTTTTTCTAGAATTCTCCAGCAAAGTATTAACCAGACCAAATAGCTGGATGAAGCCAGAAAGTTAGGGATAGTAAAGGATAACTAAAAAATTTAAGCATACTTTCCATGCAATAAGTAAAAGTGAAAATCTTGACAACTATACTTTAGTATAGTATTGACTTTTAAGAGCAGAATACCTGCATAACACGCTCATCTTGTCGTAAATCTTCATGTCCCTTCAGTAAGAAGGCATAATCCTCACCATCACTCCCATGAATTGTCAACTTTCGAGGCCGCTGTTTTGATGTTATCACAACAAGCTGGGTTGCAAATGACGCAATTGTCACGACCGGCGACTCTAGAACATAAACATGAAATGTGTAAGCAATAATTGTGTTATCAAAACGTGTCTTCGAAAAAGTGCATGTTAACATACCTGCTCGATAAGTCCCAGGAACAGCAAGCTCCAAATTACGACATTCAAGTAACTCCGGTGAAACAGACTACAATATATTGAAGTGATAAGATCAACGTGACTTTCAAGATATAAATGTAAAAGAAGCTTTCATTTAAAAAATAAACTAACCTGAAGGTCCAGGGTTGTAAGGCTCTGAAGTTGCTTATCTATTCGTCTAAATACATGGTAATAGAGATCCCAAGCCTAACCACATAATAATTCATCATGTTAGATCCACTAGGAACAAAGATGCAAAAGAAAATCCATACATGCAGTAAATGAAAATTAAGATCCATTAAACTATCATAAACCCACAAGCTTATGTTTTGTAATGAAAATTAAGACCCATAAAACTACCATAAACGCACAAGCTTATGTTTTGTATTACAAGGTACCATGTACACTAATACGCAAAGCATGTTAAAGCCTACGGTACGAGGTTAAGTGAGGTTTATATCTATGTTGGGTGAATGTTGGAACTTTTTTTTAGACACATTTACATTCTTTAATTTGATAATGTAAGAATGGCAACAAAATTTTTCATTCAGTAACTATAGAGAGATGGAAAAAAAAGATTTAGAAGTTTGAGTGCGAAAGATATATTGGAGAGAAAATAATAGTTAAAGAAAGAGAGAAATGATAGGGAGAGAAAATTGAAAGAGCAAGAAATATGTTGGAGAGAGAATATTAATTAGTGAAAGAGAAAATAAATGTTAGAGAAATCAAATTTAAAGAGCGAGAGATATGTTAGAGAGAGAGGGTATGGAGAAATAAATGTTGGAAAGAGAAAATTTAGAAAGAAAAAAGAAATTTTAGAGCGAGAAACATTAGGAAATAAATTTTAGTGAGATAAACATTCGAGAGAAAAAGAGAAATTTTAAAGATAGAAAAGTTTAGGAAAAATGTTATTACTTTAGGGAGATAAAAGGAGAGATATGTAAGAGAGAAAAATACAAGTAATAGAGATTTGTTTTGATATAGAAGAATTTAGAAAGAAAGTTAGAGAAAGAGATTTTCTAGAGAGATAAAAGTCTTTAAAAGAGAAACAAATAGAGTGTATAAAGGAAGACAAAAAAGAGATTTCAATACAGAAATCTGTTTTTGAAACTACATCAATATTTTTTTAAAATTTACTTGCAATTTAAATAACATATTTCAAAGAACAGAAAACAGAATTGAATATCAACCAACCTGTTTTTTAAAAAAATGAAATGCAAACTAAAAATAGAAAATGAAATGGTTATCAAATGTCACGTTTACATCTAGATGTATAGGATTTAGCCATTTTAGCTGACTAGTTATTCTTGTAAACAGGTCTATATCTAAGCTGCTTATCTTGCATTGATTATATTATGATTATGTCTATACTTCCACTAATTGGAAGTGTCTTATGTAAACCCTTCTTGGACTTCTGTGATTTCATACATCAATGAAATTGTTTCTTACACTAAAAAATATATTATGATCTTTTCTAAAAAGAAAAAAAAAGAGACTATATCACGATCCACAACTGCATTAAGAGTAGAGGGTTTTGAACACAACCATTTGATAATGGGAGTATTTATTCTTCCCAAAGTTATAAATAACAAAAATAAAATCAGTAGTGTTGTGTGTACATTTACACTGACAAACATTAAAGAAAATTGAGGGATCTTAAAAAAAGCTCAAATAATTATCTTTAATGAAGAGAGGAGCAGATAAGATAACAACAGACCTGAGTAAGTTCAGCATCTTTCCCGGTTTTCTTATATTTCATGCAACATTCATAGGCTTCAAGCAACTCACGGCGGTATGCCTGGAAAAGAAAAAAAAGAGAACATTATGAAAAACATCAGTTTCCTATGACCTAAAATTATTTAGAACAAGGGTAAAGTCTAAATGGTAATATAAGTGTCAATATTTTTTGAATAAAAACTTTAAGCAGTACCACAACCAAACATTTCATTGGTAAAACGGAGAGTAGAAAAAATAATGATACAACCTCAATAAATGCCCTTTCCTTAATTGTTGTATTATTCTTCACAGCTCCATCTTCAAGCATTTCATGCAAGGGCTCCAAAACCTTAAGCATCCCCTCAATGTTATGTTCACCAAAGTACAAACGACTAGCTTCCTCAAGGGCCTCATGCCACATTTCATGCCAAAGTATGGCAACTCGAATCAATTCTTTTGATACAAGTTGAGCCTATGGGTAAAAACATTTATGAGTAATGATTAAATGAGGACCAAAAAGTGAAAAATTTTAAAAAATCTATTTTACATCTAAGAGAACCTGATCAACAAGAACACCACTATGTTGTCGAACTTTGTCAACAACTTCTTGAGCTGCTGCTCGGCGTAAAGTGCTAATCGATTTACATGCTACAAGGAGAGGATACATGAGTGCCTGTTAAAATAATCAAATCATTATATTACCTGCTTGATCAACTTGATATACCATTTATGTACAAGGATGAACTACATATGAAAATTACAAACATTGAACCGATTGAAGGAAGGTAAATTACTACACTTATCCTCTGGTAGTCACAAATTTCACAGTTACAATACAAGAAACCAACATAAAATCACTGACACTGAGTACGGACTATTCTTAGATAAAAAGTAGACCAGTGTAATATATATGAGTGTGAATCAGGAACTAGTTTGAACCATCCATAGCAAATAAGGTCAAATTGGACTAGGATTAGATTAGGAAGCCCCCATTTAATGCTAAAATATATGTCCAACCCAATGGTTTACCATTTAAATCTTAACATAACAGCTATTGGATGGTTTAAATTTCTAGTCACCTTTATATTGACTAAAGGTCTTCAATACAAGTATTCCCCCAGAGTAATAAAATAAAAAGAGACGAAAACTTTTCCGATAGAAATCAAGAGCAAAGCACTACACTGAAATAAGCTCCAAATATATTCAAAACATGAAGCTGTCATAAAAATTCTCTAGTAACTAACAAGTCAAATACCATACACTATGGGACAAGGATGCTAAGTTGCCAAATGAATATATCTTCATTGAGGAAATACATATGACACAGTCGTCTCAACCAATGTTGCTTTTAAATATATTTCAGCTTCAAAATGTTGCTTCTAATTAGCAAAGTTGATACTAAATGGAAAAACTTGCAATCATGAGCAAAAGGGTAGCAGAAGACAATAGATTCCAGATGAGTAGGCTTCGTTGGATATAACACATTAGAGAGGGAGAACAGGAAGAGTAATCGCCTCTGAATAAAACCACAATCATTAATCCACAAGACCACTAACAAGGTATAGCAGCTTTCTTAAAGAGCACCCTTCCATATTCTCTTGAGAGGAAAAGATGAAAGATTGGAACAAAATAAAATTTGACAATGTTGAGAAAAAACTGCACAAAAATGATTTGGAAGACTCCAAGCTGCAAACCTTGAGTCACAAGCCTGAGGGTCGAAGTGACTATGAATAAGGTTGAGGTGAGACAAAAACTCATCATGGTTCCTTCTTCCTACCATTTGAGGTTACTTGGGAGGTCAAGGAATTAAGGCAAGTTAATTAACAATGAGGAGCACACCAAAATAATAGTCAAGATTGAGGGACATGAATTTCTAGCAACTAAAGGCTTACCCATCAAGCTACCAATTCCAAACCTTCCCAAGGAAATCCTTCATTAACATATAAAATCATAAGAGAGAATAGTAGAACAAGGGAACACTAGAGATGATCAACTAGAAAAAAAGATCTTTCCATCGAACGAAGTCCATTTTCTTAAAACTTTGTCCTTCAGATTTTACCCACCAGTGGTTTGCAAAGGCTTACCCATCAAGGCAACTCCATGACACGTTACAATTTAACAAAATAGAGAACCACTTAGCTCCAGTAATCTTAAGATTAGATGCCTCTTCAAACATAGGCAACAAGAAAAGTTCAATGTAGACACTCATTTGATGTTACTGCTCATAAGTGAAAGAGTTATGCGGCATGCCTCCTAGATTAACAATCATTATCAAATGAAATAAATAACAGATATAAATTCCAATGTCAGACACAGCTCAAACCCATTAATTCAAAATTCTATCAAAATAAGAAGAAAATTTTGATATGCAAAAGAAAACTACACAATACATACACGATCCTACAACTCATGCAAAAGGATAACACAGGAAAGAAACCTGAGGATGACTTTGCCCAATTCGAACCAATAATGACTGAATGAGTTCTCTTACTGCATGGTTATTCGAATGTATCCTTGCAATTATTTGAGGTAAAACTACCAGCCATGTGTTGATATTAACATGAGCAAATCCTTTTTGTAATGCCATTTGAACGTCTGCAGTAGCTCCATGGTTGAACCATAAAGTGAGAAGACGGAGAATATCCTAAAGAAGATAGAGAAACAAAATATGGCCAATCAGAGCAAAGAATCACAAAACCGAGTAATTGGAACTTGATCAAAGAAATGTGAAAAGCATGAAGGAAAAATGATTCCTTTCAACAAAGTATAGGATAAAATAAAAGCTCTAATAAAGGTTTTTCTGCTTTAAGATATTTATATATTTCAACATATATCATTATTACACTTCAATGTCAAGCATGACAAGCATGTCTGCATACTTTTTTCCCACCAGAATGAGCCATTACTTTGATGACAGACAAAAAATGAATTAAAGATCAGATGGAACTTGTCCGGTTCCTCAATGGGAGAGAGACAGAGTCTGAATGACAAAATGAGACCATATGCCCCTAGAGATTCGAAATGTATTTAAAATATGCAGATGGAACTGCAGTTTACCTGTAAACTGTCATCAACACCTTTAGAATTTGCAGCACATGCTATAGAGTGAAAATATCCTGTAACTGCAGCAACAACAAACTGTGCTGCGACATCAGGAAAACCTCTCATTGTATAATGAGACATCACAGCCGTATTAAACAGCGCCCACATGTGCCATGCCTTTGCCCAAGTATTTGCACACTGGGTGGCATTCCGGAATGCAGTAAGAATTTCTACAACAAAATTATCAGCAAGCAAAATCAGCAACAGCCATAAAATCAAAGATTAAAGTAATTAGTGTAATACTACCTTGTATAGAATCATCATCTAGTCCAGGAGAAAGGGCCCATTGCCAGGTTCCAAGTCTAAGGCATACACGAGCAAGAAGTGGCACACTTGAACTTCTACCATTTGACAAGCTAATTGGCTTGACAGGTTGAATAATAGGTGAAGATGAAAGCTCTCTAGACAAAACCTAAACGAGAGGATTGCGGTTCAACTATATAGGCAAACAAATATCAAGTGAATCATACCAAAGGCAGTGAGAAGTAATTTTACTGGAGGAAAATATCTTACTTGCAGCCTAGCAAAAGCTTCCTTGCGCTTAATATCCTCCCCAAGCGACCATTGATACGTCAAATATGCCAACATTACTTGAGGTGGCCCAGAATACCACCCATTTTCAGATGTCTCAGGATCGTACTAAGAAAAATTTAAAGTACAGTTGTGAGATGATGATTGTAGAAACTTGAAGCAATAGCAACCAAAAACTATTATTTAATATACATCTAAAATGGATATAAAACACTGACCTGTAAGAGCTTAACTAGAGTAGATCTTGCCTGGCTGACTCTCCCACTTTTCCGACAAAGAGAAGCAAACTTTAGCCATGTCTCAATATCTTCTGTTGGAGGTAGCACAAGGGCTCTAACGGCTAATACTGCTTGCCAAACCTACCAGATTGAAATATATATATATATATATATTTTTTTTTTTGTTTTGAATAAAATACGAACTTTTCAGTGATGAAATGAAAAGGAACAAAAATTTTTCAAGGATACAAACTTTCGAAAGTGTGAAAAAAAAGCATAAAAAACAAAAATACAGAATCTAAACAGAATAACAAGGCCAAATAAAAATATCCCAATTGTTAAAGATAAGGGAAAGGGAGTAATGAAAGAATGGCTCAGAAAGAGAACACCAGTGAGATGCTTTGAGTTTGCGGAAGAGAGACAATCAAACAAAGATCTTCTTTTACTCTTAAAAATCCCCGAGTTCCTTTCAAACCAGATTTTTAAGAGAAAACTCTTCACCATATTAATCCATAGAAGTCTTGCCAGAAGTCTTGCCATAGGTGACAAGTGTGCAACTCCACTTAACAATTGAGACAAATTTGCTTCAGCCCTCAAATAAAAAACCCAACTGATTTTGAACTGATCAAAAAGAGAAATCCAGCCTTGAATTTCAAGAGAGCAATGGAAGAATAAATGATCAATATCTTCCCCACTCGATTCACAAAGAACACAAAAAGAAGGAAGCAATGAAGCTGTAGGAAGTTTCTTTTGGATCATATCAGCAGTATTTAACTTTTTGAGCAGAATCCAAGAAAAAATATTAACTTTCCTTAGGCTTTTAGACTTCCACAAGGCTGTAAATAATTCCTTAGGCATCAAAGAGGAATTATACAATCTGCAAACTGAATTTACAGTAAATACCCCTGCAGGATCAATATTCCATACTCTTTGGTCCTCCTCATGAGTAATCAAAAAAGAGCTAATCACATGTAAAAGGCCAGCAAACTCTTGTAACTCGTCTTCCTTCAAACGACTTATCAAAATAATGTTCCATGAACCTGTGGCTATGTCCCAGAAATCAGCAACAAAACCATGAGGTAACAAGGAATGCTTAAACAATCTAGGAAAACTTTCCTTTAATGGGCTCAACACCATAAATGCTTTCCACCACTTGCCTCCAAATTGACTAGGTATCTTTGAGGGTGATAACCTCCTCCACACAAGAAAAAGGAACGAATGATCTGCTCCATGTCTTTCACTGCTTTGGCCGGTGCCTTGAATAAGGAAAAGGCATATATGGGCCTCGTTCGTTTCTTTTATTTTTTTTTAAATGCTTTACATTAAGATTTTTCTAAGGCACTCCAATTCGAGACCATATACTGTACATGATCACAAAAGGTTTCAAAGGAAGATGACTTATCTAAGAACAATCTAAAATTTCTCTCATTCCAAAGAAGCCAGGGCTCCTGCTCTACATGTGTTTCTCCAAAGAACTCTGGATTTGTGTTTCAACCAACAACCGGACATCAATTCTATTATACCATCTCCCACGATTTTGGGAGGTCACCTGACAAAGTCAAAACATCCACCAGAGCCCGGTGGATAGGACATTTTTGCTGCAAAGTACGCACATATCTAGGGACAATACTTGGTATGGATATCTCATTTGGATTCTATCCATAGTATTTAGACTGCCATGTGCCAAAGACCGGACAAAAAATTTTACTTTCTAGGGACCACTTCCTTTCCAAATCCAATTACTGAGATATCGATCCAAGAAGGAAGTATTTCCATGAAGAATACTGGAGGCTTTCACCAAGAAACTCCCCCAACGACTTAGGAATCCAAGAAGCATGATCTGAGACTTATCTAGGGTGGAAATTTTGGAGCCGAACTGTGAGATAATCCGCCCCACCCTTAAAGGAACAACTCTTGCCCTAAAAAATCTGGGAATTCCACTCAAACCATAACTTGGATAATAATTGATGTAGGCATTATAAGCCTTTATAGCCGTTAGCCTTTCTTTTAAAGCTGTTATGTTAGTTAGTCATTTAATTAGTTAGGCTTCGGATAAAAGATCCGTTAGGGAGGCTGCTTATAAAAGCCTTAGCCCCTGTTTTTCAAAGGATTCAATACTCAGAATTGTCTTATACTTGATATACATCAAATTTGGTATCAGAGCCCTAAAATCCAACCGTTTAGGACCTGATGGCCGGTAAGGGCACAGTCACTTCTGAAAAAGGAACCACAGGGAATCCCTTATCACCAAAGTCAACCACTAATCGCTTGTTGTTGGTGGAGGATTCATTGGGCGAAGTTCGAGCTAACGTCCAGAGTATCCATGAACTGCTCGAAAATCTGGGTTGACAATTGGAGTTGATTGCCGACGAGCAAGAACGATTGCGAGGGGACTTACATAATCAAGATACTACAGGGCAGGGAGCACAACATCAAGAACGACCAAGAAACCGATCTCCCACACCACCAAGGCCTTGAAATAGGGAAATCCGCAGAAGAAGATAGCAAGATTTACAACTTCGGATTCAAGATTCTGATTCTTTTGAGGAAGAGGATGATTTCTTTCGGGCCAATCCTAGGTTTGATCGGGAGGAACAACATCATAGAGGAGTTCAGACAGATTTTAGAATGAAGATTGACCTTCCTACTTTAAATGGTAAGGTTGATCTGGAGACTTTCTTGGATTGGGTCAAGAATGTCGAGAATTTTTTCAATTATACCAACACGCCAGACGACAAGAAGGTAAAATTAGTAGCGTTTAAGCTGCAGTCTAGGGTCTCTGCGTGGTGGGATAAGCTAGAAGTCAACCAGAGTTGCCTGGGTAAGAGACCAATCTACAGCTGGCCTAGGATGCTCCGTTTATTACGTGAGCACTTCCTTCCTCCAAATTTTGAACAACTCTTTTACCAACAATATCAAAAATGTCGCCAAGGTTCCAAGACCGTTGCTGATTACACTGAGGAATTCCACCGATTAGGTGCTCGAACAAATCTTGCGGTAATAGAGGATTATAAGATCGCTCGTTTTCTTGACGGCCTCCATGACGATATCCAAGATCAGATGGACAAACCTTTGGGCCTCCTCACTGATGCCATCCTGATGGCAACAAAGATTGACAAGAAAAAATCCAAGACTCCAGCCCGACGTTTCAAATGGGATAAACAGGCCAGTTCGAAATTTCCTTCTATTGATACTAACAAACCAAGTTTGTTACTTCTTCAGGCAAACCTGATGAGGGGGCAAAAGCTTTGCCACCATCTAAGCCTACCGACACTGTGGCCAAATGCGGTCCCAATACCTATGCCAGACCAACCCTTGGAAAATGCTTCCATTGTGGGCAAGTAGGCCATTTATCAAATTACTGCCCCCAACGGCGAGCTTTAGCAATTGTTGATGAGGATGATCAGTATGATCCCGAAGTTGACCAATCGGGGGATGATGATATTGACTATGTGGAACCCGATGAAGGGGATCCCCTCAGTCGTGTTCTGCAACGGGTCCTTTTGGCTCCCAAAATTGAACACAACAATCAAAGACACTCCCTGTTTTGTACACACTGCACCATCAACGGCAAGATTTGCAACATCCTAATTGATAGCAACAGTAGCAAAAATATGGTCTCTAAAAAATTAGTGGCTGCTTTAAACCTTAAGATTGATCCCCACCCAAATCCTTATAAGGTTTCCTGGATCAAAAAGGGTGGGGAAGTTACAATTCAGTCCGCATGTACCATCCCACTTTCTATTGGTAATCAGTACAAGGATCAAGTTGTTTGTGATGTTCTGGAGATGGATGCGTGCCATGTTCTGTTGGGCCGACCGTGGCAGTTTGATCTTCAGGCCATCCACAAGGGGTGTGAAAATACTTATGAATTCAATAGGATGGGTAAGAACATTGTTTTGCTGCCATCCAATGTGGAAACCAAAGGTAAGCGAGATACCCAAGGATCATCTAAACAATTGTTTCCTCTCATCAGTGGGAAAACAATCCTTAAAAAGGATGATTCTATCGTCTGGGCCTTAGTGGTTAAGGGTGCTTCACCTTTACAACCAACCCCCGCCAACCACCCTGCGGTTATGAACCTTCTGCGTGAATTTCACAACATCACTACTGACCCTACAGGACTCCCACCCTTACGAGAGGAGATATACAACACTGCATTGACCTCACACCCGGAGCCTCGTTACCACATCTTCCTCGTTACTGGATGAGCCCCAAAAGTATCAAATACTACACGAACAAGTAAACGACCGACTACTTAAAGGCCACATTAGACCAAGCCTTAGCTCGTGTGCTGTACCTGTCTTATTGGCACCGAAAAAGGATGGCTCATGGAGGATGTGTGTGGATAGTCGTGCCATAAATAAAATCACTATTAAGTATAGATTTCCCATACCACGGCTATCTGACCTCTTGGACCAACTCAGTGGCACTCAACTATTTTCAAAGGTGGGCCTCAAAAGCGGCTATCATCAGATCCGTATACGATTAGGAGACGAGTGAAAAACCACCTTTAAAACTAATGAAGGCTTGTTTGAGTCGCTGGTAATGCCATTCGGATTGTCAAATGCTCCTAGCACATATATGCAGCTCATGAATCAGGTTTGACGTCATTTTCTTAATCATTTTATTGTGGTTTACTTTGATGATATACTTGTTTATAACAAAACTGATCATGAACACTTAGAACACCTTCACACACTTTTTCAAACTCTCGGTGAACACAAATTACACATTAACCTAGCTAAATGCTTTTATGACAGCCGAAATAGCTTTCTTAGGATTTTACATTTCTTAATTTGGAATATCCATTGACCCATCTAAAGTATCCGCCATCCAAAACTGGCCTACCCCACATCAATCTGATATATCCAATGCTTTCTAGGATTAGCCTCGTTTTATAGGAAATTCATGAAACACTTTAGCTCTATTGCGGCCCCCTTAACTGACTGTCTTAAGAAAGGTAAGTTTTTTGGGATAACAACCAATCGATAAGTTTCCAGACTCTTAAAGACAAACTCAGCTCCACACCCGTATTATCCTCGCCCAACTTCTCCCAACCCTTTGAGGTAGCTGTCGATGCGTCAGGGATTGGCATAGGGGCAGTCATTTCTCAACAGGGTCACCCAATAGAATACTTTAGCAGAAAAAACACCCTTCTCACACTTCTGTCGGGCCATGTTATTGCCTTTGATCATATTCCATCAACTTATGAAAATGACAGTGACTTCAATGACATACGGAGGCAGTGTACTGAACATGTTAACCACAATGAATTCCATATCCTCGATGGATTTCTTTTTAAGGGTGATAGACATTGTATTCCACATACATCCTTAAGGGAAACCTTAATAAGGGATTTACACAGAGGAGGCTTGGCAGGCCACTTCGGCCGTGATAAAACCTAGGGCCTGGTTTCTTCTAGATTTTTCTGGCCTCAACTCCGTCGTGATGTCAATAATTTCGTCACACGATGCCGCATTTGCCAAACAGCAAAGGGACAATCCCAAAACACGAGTCTTTATACACCTTTGCCCATTCCTCAATCCATTTGGGGAGATCTCTCAATGGACTTTATACTTGGTCTCCCAAAACTCAACGAGGACATGACTCAGTTCTAATAGTGGTGGATAGATTTAGAAAAATGTCCCACTTTCTACCGTGTAAAAATCGTTCGACGCCATTTACATTGCTAACCTTTTTTTTTTTCAAGAAATTGTAAGATTACATGGCATTCCAAACACTATAGTTTCGGACAGAGACGTGAAGTTCCTCGGTCATTTTTGGAAGACCCTTTGGAAGAAGTTCGATACGAGCCTCAAATTCAGCACTACTAGCCACCCTCAAACAGATGGCCAAACAGAAGTGACAAACAGGACGTTGGGCAATCTAATACGTTGTCTTGGAGGCAATAAACCTAAGCAATGAGATCTAACCTTAGCACAAGCCGAATTCGCCTACAACCACATGCGAAATCGATCTACTGGGAAGTCCCCATTTGAAGTCGTTTACACTAAATTGCCTAGACTTACAGTTGACCTTGCTAATTTACCTACTTTTGTTGGTCTTAATCAGGAAGCAGAAGAAATGGCTGAAAGGAATATTGAGCTGCATAACGAGGTCACAAACAACCTTCAAAAAGCTACTGCCTCCTACAAAGCTGCTGCAGATACTCATCGACGGAGGAAAACATTTGAAGTCGGCGATTTGGTCATGGTCTATCTAAAAAAATCCCGTTCTCCCAAGGGTACTTATAACAAGCTGAGCAACAAAAAGATTGGGCCATTCGAGATACTCCAAAAGTATGGTGACAATGCCTATCGAATTAATCTACCAGATGAACTTCGCATTACACCTGTTTTCAATGTGGCGGACGTATATGAGTATCAAGCTGAGGATGCCTTCAGACAAATGTTTTAAAAATCGGTCAAGACTTACGCCTTGAGGCGCGCCTTGAGGCGAGGCGGCTACATCATGCCTCAAGGCTTACGCCTGTAACAAATAAAAAGAGGCGTACGCCTGAGATGGCAAAGGCGTAAGCCTCTGTGCATAAGCCTTTGAGGCTTAAAAGGCGTCAGCCTCAAATGAAAATGATCTTTGGCGGTGGTGGGGTGAAATTAATAAGGTGGTGTAATTAATAAGGTGGTTTAGTGCTCTGCTAGAAACATAATTGCCTTAGACATTTGTTCGATATAATATTTTAAACTTAAAATCTTATTATTCTATAATTAAATAGCAACCTAGACCAAACTAAAAGACAAACCTAGTTTGTATTTATTTGTACCATGAATAAAAATGTAAGCCAGTAGATTGACAGCAAGAAATAGTGGGTTAAATTTTCCTTTTCCTTCTCTTTCCCTCCTCTCCTATCTACTCTGTTTTGCTTTGTTTTTTCTTTTTTCTTTTGGTTATTACATACTGTATTAAGGATAGCAAGTTTTTCTTTCTTTCTTTTTTTTTTTTTTTAA